GCAGAAGCCGCAAATTGTTATCTTGGACATTACACCAGCAGTGTCCCAGTTAGTGGGTGCAGCCACTCAGCTCCTGAACTGAGGGTGATAATGAGCAGCCTCCGGCCAACCAGCCAGAGGCATAGGGTGCAAGCACAAATGAACCCGTGCTGGAGGTCAATTCGGGTTTGCTACCGAGGCATTACACAGCTTACCCTTCTTGACACACTCTTAACTGTGCCTAAAAGTATCTTCCTTTCTGTGTGGTACCTGGAATTGGACTCAGGACCTGTGCTTGCCGGGCAGGCGCTGCAAGGAACCATAGCCCCAGCCCTTGAATGTGTTTTTCTGTCAACGCTAGAAGTAAACACCTGTATCCCGCCCCCCACGCACCCCCGCCCCAGAAGTAAGACAGGAACCCGAAGATGCTCCACTTCCACACACTGCTGACCTCCATCCATGGTGGTTTTACTTTTAATCTGGAATTGAATTCATGACCTCACACTTGTAAGACAGGCACTGTGCCGCTGTTATATCCCCGTCCTCCATCCATGTTAAACCTAGAATTTATCTGGACTTTTCTCATTCACATTAAACTTATATGGCTGTTCTGATGATAAAAACCCCAGATTAGGAAAACAATTGGCAGGAAACAAAACCAGCAAAGTTTTTCTGCTCATCAGTTTGACTTGCAAATCTTCTTCTATGGGCTTACTGTTCAGTTAGCTCAGTAACTCTGCCAGGGAGATTTCTTCTCGCTAATCTAGCTGCCAATAAAATCCAACCCCAACCTGGTATTATGTTGTTTCACTATTCAAACACACAAGCACTGACTGTATTCCAGTCACTCTTGTTTGCCTAGGATTCTCTCCTTTTAGGTTGCTGATTTTCTTCAGATTTGATGATTCCTAGCTATCCATAATTAAAGGTAAGGGCCTAAATTTCAATTTGGAAGTGATTTCTTCAACTGAATGAAATCCTGGTTCACGTTCAATGAAAACAAATTCTGACTTCAGATGTGTCTGGTGACTGTACAGGGGCAGAGAGGTCACCCCAGCAAGCCAGACAGGGAGCCCTGTGTCCCTGAGGCCTGCATCAGAATCCTCGCTTATCCTGGCAAAGCCCAGAGTCAGGCACTGCAAGGGGCAGGGAGTAGGTCAGTAGCACACCACTGAACTAGCTGGTCCTTTGGCAGTCTGCTCTTTCTCCTCTAGAAATGCCATTCTGTTCATTAGATAATGCTATTAGACAATGGTGATGATGACATTAGTTTTATAATTCTTTGGTCATTTGTCATTCTGGGAAAGTGAAAGAATGTGTCAAAACATCCATGTTATGACATAAATTCTAGCATATGGTGCACAATCCAAATTATTTTAACAAATCTTCCATCTATCTGGCTGGTCCTGTGAAAGTCAAGTGTTACTATTTTAACACTAAGAAGTTATTTTGTAAATGCTCACTGGAAACTACTAGATATAGGACTGGATTGACAAATAAGAGTAACATTTGACCACTAATTATGAGTAGATTTAAGGCAGGATGACAGGTTTTTCCATATCATATCTGACACTGTGTTAGCAATAAAACATCCTGATTGGAAACAAATTGCATAGGTTCTGTTAAACAAGGTAAAGGAGTAAGCTTAAAATCTTCAACCCAAATGAAAACAGTATATTCCAGTTAAGAGATACTACTTCAGTATGATACTGAAAGCGTAATAATCATTTGAAGAGCTAAAATTATATATAAGGCAGTAAAAATATCCCTATTAATGAAATAATTTAAGAAAATACACAAGATTTTAAAAAATAATTCTATATACAAGGTATTAAAAATAGGGAATGTTTAAAAATATATTACAGGGCCAAGGATAGCTCAAGCAACACAGTGCCTACCACTGACATTTACCCTCTTGATTTCTAACATACTTAAGTCCATTGTTCTTGCCTTTTTCTGAAGAAATTCTAAAAGTCCTCTTTTCAGAGTGTCAATGGCTGTCTTGAGGTCCTGCAGGACTCAAAAACATGTAATGAAATTTCTGTTAAATGTTATAATGTGTCTCTAACCAGATCTAGCACTGTGCAGTTTCTGGCTCTCTCTCCAAAGTCAAAATGACCATGAAAGGTAAACAGTGTTTTGAATCAACTCAGGACATCAGAGCAGCCACCACAGAGCAGCTGAAGACACTCACGAAAGAGCACTTCCGGAGCCGCTTCAGAGGTGGCAACAACAGTGGGATAAACGCACTCGGAGCCAGCAGGAGCACTTTGAGGGAGATGAATGGCAATGTGTTTTGCTGTAATCACTTTTTAAAAAATTCAAACATTTATAGTATTTTTTTTTAAAACCACACTTCATATGTGTGTGCCTTTTTAAAAAATCTGCAGTCATAGGAAAGTGAGGCTCAGAGCTACATTCATTTTACTTCTAACTGTTCACACCTTCCTGACCCACCCTCAGTAGAGCCAGCCAGCAGCTCACACCCAAATCCACCGGGCAGGTCCAGCCTCTGTGGCAGCACACTGCACCCACTTCTTCCTGGCTGAAACGCCTGTCACCGACTTCCCAGGATGCTTGCTGTTTATTGCCTCACCTCTGACAGCCCCAGTGACCAGGGTCCCATTTGCTTTCATGATTTTAACTCGCTCTTACATGTGCTGACGGTTCTGACATCTTTCTCTTTCCACGTCTTCATGTCTACATCAAACCATCTACCAGTCATCTCATGCTTAGAGGTGCTTCAAAATTCAACGGGGCCAGAAATACGTCCATCTCTCCAAAGTGGTTTCCACGTTCCTGACCCCATGGATATCATCACTCAATTTCACTCATACGGATGAAGCCCTTTTTTTTTTTTTTTTTTTTTTTTTGTCTTTTTCTTTTTTTTGGTACCAGGGATCGAACTCACGACTGCCTGCTTGCAGGCAGGCGCTTATGCCGCTGAGCTAAATTCCCAGCCCCTTGAAGCCCACCTTCTGTCCTTTTTCTATTTTTTTGAGGCAGGGTCTTGCTATGTAGTCCAGGCTGGCCTCAAACTCACAGTGCTTCTCCTGCCTCAGCCTCCAAATGCTGAGATTACAGGCATGTGCCGCCATGCAGCTAATTGTTTTTTTATTTCCCATAAACAATTAGTAAGTCCTCCTGATTTTATTTCGTAAGATTCAAACTTACTTCTTCCTTTCATCCAAAACTTATGTCAGGTCTTTTTTCTCTCTTGCTACTGATTAATAATTCACAAGTTACCAAACTGGTGTTTGATTGGAACCAGTGGTTAAGCACTCCTATTAAGGAAGGAGTCCATAGTCAAATGTACCTGAACCACAAGCTTGTCTTGCAGATTCAGACTGAACATTGGACTACAGAAGCTGAGAAGGCCTGTAGTACTGAGCTTCAGTTTATGTAAGCCATGGTCTCTTTTAGCTGTGTCCATGAAACACAGTACAGACAGGAGAGGAAGAGGGAGCAGGCAGACCCGGTGAAACCTGGGCTCCTGAGACGAGCGTGCAGAGCTGAACTCCTGCACCGGGGAGCGAGCCCACACCTCAGGCTCAGCACGTGCTCACCGCAGAGCTACAGCCCGAGTTCTCTGTGCACCGGGACACAAGCTCCCAAGCTGCCTGGGCTGGCCAGGGACTCACTGCCCTGTCAGTCTCTGAACTGCCGGGGTGACAGATGTGGGCACGGGCCGTTTCCCAGCTTCTTTTTCTATCTTCTGTACTGAATTAATGATCTACAACAAAAACCAACCACGTCATTTCACGCCACTAGCTCACCAAGCCTGTGAGGAAAAGGAACCAGTTCCATTCGGTGGGAGCTGTAAGGCCCCCTGGCTGCCCACTGCAGGCCGGGGATGTTCCCCTAACTGTAGGCGTTGGTGGCTCTGTGCTTCTGTTGTTCAGCACCCTTCCTGCACCTCCTTACCCGCCAGCTTCCGGTTAGTTCTTTAACACTTAGCTTAGGCCTTAAGATGACCTCTTGTTAGACATCAACATGACTGTCTCAGTCCTACAGTCCTCCTTACTCCCTACAGACCATGACATTCCCTTCCCGCAGCAGAAGGTAACAGTTTAACGTCCACTTACTGCCTTCCCCAACCTGGGAGTTAACGGTCCTAGCTGACATCCTGCTCACTGCTTTATTCTCTCTCAACAACCCTTGACTAACAAACTCAAGAGCCTGATTTCCATCCGGTGGAACTGTCTGGAAAAAGTCCGGCACTCAACTTTCCTCTAATCTCACCTCTGAGGCAAAGTCTGCTTGTACTAAAAAGGTACGTATTTTACCACAATGGGATAGCTTAGTACAAAGATACATAATCGTATTTTCATATACTCTGCCTATAAAAAGTTCTCCTGGGCAGGGGCAGAGGACAGTGGACAGGGAACTACTTCTCTGCACTTTCAGTGCTCACCAACTTGCACTGCTCCCTTAAGGAGTCCTCTCTGAACAGGACACAGGATGACTGAATGACAGCACTGCTTCTAGTTCAGATGCCAGCTATGCTACTTACTTAGCGATCCAACTCTGGGCCAGCCATATAAGTTTCCTCAAATTCCTCATCTATAAAAGGGGCACCACAAGCTTCCGGAGGTGCTTCCGGGCTTGCTGGAACCTGCAAACACAGGTAAGCATGTAGGTACGCGTTTAGTGCTATGGTTACAAATTAGGATCTAACCATGGCTCTTGACCGCATGACTTAATTCCGACACTGGACCAATTCCATTTATTTTCTCTCATGCTTTTCTAGTCCCCTTCTACTACTTGGTGGGACTCTTTTTTTTTCCTCCACACAGTATTAGCTCTGAGAGGGTAAAGGATTTCTTTTCTTTGTTGCTGAAAGCCACAGCACTCAGAATAATGCTGCACATGTTAGGGTCTCTGTCAGTATTTGCTGAATGAATGGTGCACGGTGTCAAAAGGAGTAACATGCTAAAAGTTTCATTATAATCAAAAGCAAATGTAAAAAACTTTCCTATAATGGCTTATAACCCTGTATTTTAAAACATCACATGCCATAATAAAAACATGAGAAAATTTATTAAAATTGGAAGGCAAAAACATAATTCAAAGGTAGACCTATGTCAAGTGTGACAGAGAATGTATGCTTTCTGGAATTTCAGAGTCGGATCCACTTTCAGAATGTTCCAGTGGATTATTTTTACTTTTATTTGTCTTGGATGAAACAGTCACTATGCTACTTTCTTTCTTGACAGAAGTAAATTTTTTCAAAGACTCACTTTTAATTGGTTCATTAACTAAAGAACTGTTTTCCCTCATTCCTTTGTTTTTCCAGCTCACAGGCAAGTCAGACGAGGAATGCAGGTCCTTTCCAGGCTGCTTCTTAGTAGAGTGCTTTCTGGTGTGTTCACCTGCTTTGCTCGTCTTCTCTGAGGGGGATCTGCTGTTTCTAGACAGCTCCTCCTCCTCTCTGTGACTGCCGGTTCCAGCAGTCTTCTCTGCTGGAGGAGAACATGTTCTAGCAACGAATCCTTCAAAAGAGTCTTGCTGCTGCTGCTGCTGCTGCGGCTGCTCAGGGGCTGGGGTCCCCAGGCTCTCTCTGGAAGTCACTACGATCTCCTGAGTAGAAACTGGAACGTGGGAAGAGTCCAGAGGCAAAGGAATTCTAGCATCACCTGTAAATTTCTGAAACTGAAGGGAAAAACAGCAAAAGTTCAGTCATGAATAAAGCTAAATATTAAAAATAAGACTTCAGAGCTTCAGTGCTACTCCATGAGCTTATCGCTAGCAGTCAGTTCATTACTCAGAAGCCTCTGGGGCCGTTTCCCCCTCTAATTAGATCTTGTGCCAAATGACCCCCACTCTTTACTGAGAGCTGAGCCCCGCTTCTGCACTTGTGGGTAACTGCTGCCCGTTTCCCTGTCCCTCACTGAAGTGACATCTTTCCTATTTGACCTTCCCGGTCAGCAGCAGCCAGTGAAGTCTCAAACCGTCGGGTCCCCAGAGCAGTCTGAGTGTGGTGGGGAGAGGGAGGGGCCCAGGAAGGGACAGCAAAGGCGGCAGGGGAGTCCCCCGCTCCCACTCCTACTGCCCGTTCGACCCCGCAGTCAGTTATGTCTGGGTTACTGATTTCTGTGAGTCATCCGTATCATTACTTATACCTGCATTACTGTTCCTTCATTGTAAGCTGACTGCATACAAATAGAAACCTAGACGAAATATGAATAGAACACATTTACAAAATTTAAAGCTTGGAATACTTCCTCTAAACTTCCATTTCTTTCTTCACTGAGGATAATGTTATCAAAATAGGTTTTCTTATTTACAACAATATAATACCATGACACAGAAACACGCTTAGTAATTTCAGACTTGGGATGACCTGAGATGTATTTCTGGCCCTCAAGCAGGGAAAGGATTTGAGATGGGTCACTAGCATTGTCTCTCTGACTAGCAATTCCCTTTTTTTTGGCACCGGAGGTCAAACTCACAATCTCACAATTACCAGCAATTCCCTTTTCTTGGCACCAGAGATCAAACTCATGACCTCACACTTACCAGGCAAGCACCTGAGCCACTGAGCTAACTCCCCGGCCCTAATTCCCTTTTCTAATCACTCTTGAATCACTGAGTTCTGTTCCATCCTCTTACTTGGATATTTTGCATTCGTCCTACAGCATTCTGCTTTGGCTCCGTTTTCTCTTCTTCAAGTGCCTTCTTTTCTTCTTCAGGTAGATTACTAACAGTAGAGTTCATCTGGGGACGGCCTAGTAAATGAAAATCTGACTGATCTATACCAGCCATTGTGGCAAGCTGTCCAAGTCTGCATAAGAGGGAAAGAAAGGCATTATAGCCACAGGAGAATTCAGAGTCCGCCGCCCGTGAGAGCATGGGATACTTGTATGCATGAACACAAGTATCTCTGAAGCCACATCCTACTCCAGACGTAGCCCGCTGTCTCTCCCCGCAATCAGATCTTCCCGTATTTGTGCCTTGGGATTAGACCAATCAGGGCTCCCCATTCCCTCAAGGATATACTTTGTACCACCCTCCCTTTTAAATGCAGGCTCCAGCTAGTGCAGATCCATCTCGCATAGCTTCCCATTTTTCTCCAGTTTCTAATTGTCCTAGCACCAAACTATTCTCCTGTGAAAATCACTCCATCAGCTGTTACAATTCTCTCAGCAAAATCATTCCTGCTTGGGAACCAGTGATCTAGTCTAACATGCACTTGACTATTCTGATGGCTAGGACTTGCATAATTCAAACTTACTTAACAAAATGAATAAAAAGCAAGAATATTCCTTTTGAATATTTTCAATTAAAATTAACTTAGCTTTAACATGAATTATACCTAACCATTTCTCTAAGAACAGGTTACTACCTTTTTTATACTGGGCTGTCTACCACGACAGGTTTGCCAATCTATATTTCTTTTAAAAAACAAATTCTCCATTTAAAAAACCCAGCATATAACTTAGGTATAATCACATGGCACACATGACTTGTGGAAAATACAATACTCAAGTGTCCCTGCAAGCAAACTAACCCGGCATCTTTAAGGAGATCCAGGAAAGCATGGAACTTCTGGAAGGAATTCTCAATGCTGCCCAGGACGCCTTCATCATCCAGGATCATGTTTGTCACTGACTGCGCATGAAGGGCTTCGGACAAAGAGAAATTTATATTTCTTAACTGGGCGTTTTCTTGTTCCAGCTACAATAGAAGGTTGAAAATGTATGACATTATTTTCTTTCATTGTCATCTAAAGAACACAATTTTCAAGTAGCAAAACTAAAACATTTTCAAAATGTGATTAATTTGTAATTAATCTAATGACAACAACCATATCACCTAACAATCAAAATCAGGAGATAGCACGCGCGCACACACACGTATCAAATTTATTGTTTCATTAATGATTTTCCAAAAAGACTGCACTTCTAATGGGTTAAATTCAGATCATCTTATTAAAAAAATTAGCTGCCTAAGGATCTTCTTAAATCAGAAAATGAAATACAGTCTGATTTGATCAAAGCCTATTGTGCTTCTGCTGAACACTTAGGATTCTTAAGCAAGGTTAATTTTAAATGTGTACATCTGAAAGTCCTAAAGTGTACCTAATTTATTAATTGCACAACTACCGTTATTTCTTCCTCCTTGGCTTCTTGAAAATATCCACTACCTGCATACTCCTTTCTCATCATTTGTTCATCTAAAACCACGCGAAGCCCAAAGCTGGCATTTCTCAGTGAAGCCATTTCATTCTCAATACACTGTTTTGCTTTGCACAATCAGTATTTACTGAATGACTGTCTTTCAAACAAATGTGCATACTGTCAAAATTCTTCCTGAAACTCTTCGTGCAGTGAACGATATTTACATAGAACTGTCTAGCTTTCGTGCACATCAGTCTGATTTGGTATTCAGAGTACAGATTTTTATCTTTCATTGCATTTACTTATCCACTTTGCTAACTCACTGAGAAGACAGTCTCATCATCGTACTGTTACTCTAAATACAACAGAGCCTAATAAGTACATTTCATGAAGAGAAATAAGGCTCAGTCATGTAACAGGAACATTTACATTTTTAAAAAGACATGCTTCCTGGAATATAATCACATGAGTAAGTAAACACAAAGGTTTAACACAGTTGGAACATTTACACAGGAACATTTACATTTTTAAAAAGACATGCTTCCTGGAATATAATCACATGAGTAAGTAAACACAAAGGTTTAACACAGTGTTACAGTTGTAACACACTGTATTTTCTTATGGTAAAGTTTATGAAGTTGTGTGTATGTAGCTTAAAGTCAAATCCAAACAAAACAAAACGACCCTCAAAATGTGACCCTTCCTTACCTCACTGACTCGTTTATCCGCCTTCAGCCTTATCACTCTTTCCTCCTTTAACTGCGTTAGGCATTCCTCCAGTTTTCCCTAGTATGAGAAAGGGCAAATATTGTGTAACTAATTCACACTATGACCCCGAAAGCAGTTTCAACTAAAGATGATACCAAGTATCTAGCAGCAGAGTTGGAAGTTAACTTGCGAGATTATCCATGTAACATTATGAAAGTGATTACCACAACATAGCAACACACTACTACACACTATGTTGGAGGGTTCATATGAACCCTCCAACATAGATTTGTGACAGCTCACCATAAAAAGGCATCAAATAGAATACACTTAGTGAATGAGAAATAAAAACTAAGGTGTGACAGGAAAACTGTTACTGCAGGTCCTCTCATAGAAGCAAATTCTATTAACACGTTTAACAGAACTGCAATTTTAATGAAAGAAATACTTAAAGCTGGATGGTGCACACCTGTAATCTCAGCACTCGAGGCTGAGAAAGAAGACCATGAATCTGAGATGAGTCTGCGCTATGAACCAAGTTCAAGGCTGGTATAGACCATGCAGATCCTATCTCAAACACACACACACACACACACACACACACACACACACACACACCTTTCAAAGCACTTTATTCTATGGCAAGCATTGTTCTAAGAGTTTTCTAGTTATTACCTAACTTAACATCACATCATCCTATAAAAATATGATTTTATTAACTGTTTTCTTCGGAGGTACTGGGGATCAAACCCATGACCCCCTGCTTGCCAGGCAGGTGCTTATGACACTGAGCTAAATCCCAGCCCTAACTGTGTTTTACAGATTACAAAACCAAATCAGAGAGGAGTAGAGTAACATGCCCTCAGTCCTGTAACTACTGCAGTGTCGCAGGCTGTGATCTCAGGAAGCTGGGCACTGGTCCTGCTCAGAGGTGGTAATTAACTGTCCCCCTCTCCAGTGTCAGTATTGTCTGATGCACAAGGGTAAACACATTCACATTCAGCAACCAAGATTCAAAAGCATTTGAAAGTGGAGTCACTCCTCGCAGTAGCACAATGCTAAAATGGTCCCCAAGACTCCCTCCTGCTGCACCCCCCCCCCAGCTTTCACTGTTCAAATATCATAGGTACTGTTGCGAAGAGGTGTAAGTCCAAGTCCCCAAGGCGACTGACCTTAAGACTGGGAAAGGACCTTAAGAAGATGCAACCTAAACCAGCAATCCGTTAAGAGGGACCAGGCTGCTACCAGAAGAGATTCAAAGCACCAAAGCAATCAGACACAGAGGAGCACCCACTGGCGGCTCTAAATGGCCAGGTATAATATGGCAGCAAGGGATGCAGAGGCGAGGGAGAGCTCTAGAGGCCACGAAGGTCCTGGACTGACTGCCAGGAAAAGGACGAAGCCTCAGTCCTAACTGCAGGGACTGCACTATGCCAACACCCCGAGGAAGCCTGGCAAGGGAGTCTTTCCCAGAACCTCCAGATGGTAAGGGACCGGGGACGACCTGGCTACAGCTTCACTGGACTCCAGGCAGACAGCCCAGTCCAGTCTACAGAACTGGATCTAGTAAGAAATGGCTATTTACAACTCCCAAAGACAAGCAGTGAAAATCAATGCACTAATCAACACCCGGGTTCACGAACAAAATAATGACTTAGTTTTTGTTTGCTACTGCAAGTAAAACATTGTTTCCTGCCGCACCATTTGAGTAACATGCAGTATAAATGTACATTTATGAAAATGGCAAGATATATTTTAAAGGCTTTTGAATATTCTGTTAAAAGTTTTACCTTAAAAATTTAGTTTAATCCTGGATATATCTATGTCTATAAATACATATAGATATATATCTACAGATATAGACAGTATCCACAGATATATCCACACCAGAAGAAGAAATTAGTACTACTTTCTAGAGCGATCGCTCGATTATACCAAATGTTCTGATCCCCTTAAGGAAATCATCATAGAGAAGGACAGGACTTTAACTATGAACATGTTATAGAACTATAACTACCTAAACTTTAGAAAGAAGCTAAGAGCTTCATACTGTGCTTAGTTTACATGAAACATACACACATATGAAGAAATGTTCCATGAAGCACTAAAAAGCACATGATGATGTAAAGGACTCAACCAGAATGAATGAACGGACTTTAGGAGTCATACTGTGAAAACGTTTCTGTGCATTTTCCTTGGTAGATGGCCCATAATCTTAAATCAGATTTCCTGCTGTAGAAGAGTATTCAATAACATGACAAAACATTTTGATATTTTTAAGAAAACAGGGCTGACTATAAAATGTTCAGTTGTGCATGAATGCAGTCATTTTCCTTTCAATGAAGTTCACTATTTTTCAAAACTTTCCTCAATGAACATGTACTTTTATAATCAGAATACGTATCTGAAAATTAGTAAATGTTCTAATAATTTTAAAAACTGTCTTTGTAGCAGATACTGGAGTTTAAACCCAGCGCCTTCACACAGCGCTATGTTGGCACCCCTTTTTAAATCCTGAGCAAGGTCTTGCTAAGTTGCCAAGGCTGGACCGAACCCACCTCCTGCAGCCCTCCAGAGCACTGCGATACAGGCATGAGCCACCCTGCCTAGCTTTCACTTCTTTACCATTATGGCCAGCCAAGTGTTTATGGTAAAAACAAGAAACTGCAGTGTTATTACTATTCATATAATGGCATCAGCATTTTAAACTGGTATCACAGAAATGTTAACCAATGATGAAAACAAGATTCTCATCACCACTGCAGAAAGACTGAACTCCATTCTCGACTGGTTCTAAACTAGCAGCCAGTGAAATCACATGAAATAGTTCCCTCTGGTGGAGAGAGTTAGAACACAACAATACATTTTAATGAAAATGTTATTTCCCCAGTACTCCTTTAAAATCTACAGAGTAACTCATATTCCTCAGAGGAAAGAAGGAAACCTGGAAGCAGACAATTACAAAGTAATCTTTTTTAGTAAGGACTAGAGCTATGACAAAGCTGTGCAGTGAAGTTCCTTCTGGTCATTTGCTCCCCCATCCCTCCACACATTGCCAAGGTACCTCCCCAAACAAACAGCATCCATCATGCTGTGTGTCAAATTTATGTCCATCTTTTCTCACTTAACCTTGAATTGATCTCCCATATCATCAGAGGGTTTCTGTGACACAGACTTGCAAGCGGCTGCAAATACTCCCTTAGGCGGATTTACCGTTCACTCATTCCCTTAGAGCTAAACATTCAGATTGTTCCAACCTTTCAATACTGCAAATTAAAAGTCACGTTTATGCAACAGAGTCCCCATTCCTTCATCTGCACAATCAGTTTCCTAGAATAAACTAAGAAAAAAAAAAAAAAGAAGGACACAGCAAAAAACATTTTTAAGGCTCTGAGACACCTACATCCAAGCTGTTTTCTGAAACTTTTCCAAGATTTTATACTGCTCTCAGCAGTGACACCTATCACCCCGCCATCACTACTGGCTTCCTTTCCCAGTACAGGTGGGAGGGGAGGAACAGAGTGTGTCTTGTTAAACATTTACCCCCAGCATCTCCTGTGCCTACCAAAAAGGAGACAAGCAATAAATAATAGAAGCCAGTGGTGATGGTGCACACTTCTAATCCCAGCACTGGGGAAGCTGAGGCAGGAGAATCGCTGTGGTTCTGAGAACAGCCCAGGCTACATGATGGGCTCAACAACAGCCTACACTACACGGTGAGACATTGCCTCAAAACAAGTCAGTAAGACAGCTGCTGCCCACACAAGATCTGTGTGTCAAAAGTGGTTTCTTCTAATTAACAGGTCAAAGTTTGCACTCTTCCTTGAATCTACATTTCTCTGCTTACTAATATAACTTGAAATTTTTAAAAATTATGTTTTAAAAACTCATTCTCTATAGAGCAAAGTCCTTATCCTATCTTTAGCTATAAACCTTGAGGAAGTGGAATAACCCTTACGCCTTCATTTTCTCAGCTAACAAGGGAGATACCCAGGGTTCTTTTGATGATTAAATGTACCACACACAAAACCTGGAAGGCTTCTTAGTACCTACACAGAAAATGCTCAATGCAAAGTGAATGAACATATGAACGTAACTGGTAGAGATAGGTTCATAATCAAAGCTGCCTCTTCCCAGCTTACATATTCAGCTCCCTAAGAGCAACCTTTCTCTTAAGCAAAAATGTTCACTCTAACACATGATATGCATGCTGAAAAGCACAGACCAAGTATGGGAATGTGCATGTAACCACCACCCAAATGTAGGAGTACACCTCCAACATCGCTGAAAACTCTTATAACTTCTCCCTGTCACCAGCTGCTCTTCCTCCCAGTTAGATGCCACCCTGTTTCCTGAGGATCCTTTATCTGTGTGCGTTCCTAACAATAGTTTGGTTTTGTCTATTAACTTTATGGAAAGGGAATCGTAACACAGCCTTTTGGTTGTTTTTTTTTTTGTACCAGGGATTGAACTCATGACCTCGCACTTGCCAGGCAGGCACTTATGCCGCTGAGCTAAATCCCCAGCCCCCCACATTTACTCATTTTTAAACTTCACTGCTGCCAGTAGGTCTAGTTCAATTTTATGGCTTTTTATTTAACTTTTATTTTTCTTGCTCTACACAGTTTAATCTTTACTTCTTAGTGGGCCTCTGAACTGCTTTCGGGTTGGGTTGTTGCAAATAGTCTGAATCTTTATCTACACCTTTTATCTATATCTATATCTATATCTGTATCTGCATCTGGTCGAGCAGTTTTTCCAGTGCTTATGTCCTGGGGTAATGTGACAGATCACTGGGTACTCACATATATCCTTAGTTGTAGACAATGCCAAAAGCCTTTCCACAGGGGCTGGGGATTAGCTCAGCGGCATAAGCGTCTGCCTTGCAAGCAGACAGTCGTGAGTTCGATCCCTGGTACCGATTAAAAAAAAAAAAAAAAAACCCTTTCCACAGTAGTTGTGCTGACTTACACTCCATAGAAACGTGATATGAGGTTCTCACTGCATGCCAGCTACCATCACACTTGCTATACCCCCAGCTGACTGCAGTTTCTTTTTAAGGCAGGGTCTTACTGAGCAGCCAAGACCGCCTTGAACCTGTGATGCTCTTGCCACAACCTCCAAAGTAGCAGGGATTACAGGCACATGACACCACATCCTGTCCCTATATGTATTTATACTGCCAGAATTAATTATCTGTGCACAATGGGGGTAACAGGAACCTCCATAGTGTTTACATGGAGTGTCGGTTACATTGTATCAGTAAGAAAAGGCACAGCACAGAAGTAAAGGCTCAAGCTTGTTAATGCAGAAGTAGACTAGTCAGCCTCCTACTTAGGACTTGACAGTTTGACTCCACACAAAACCCTACATGCAAAATGATTCACTGCTCAGGCCTATGAAGCTTTTTTCAGTGCCTTCTAGGGTCCAGGCATGATTTTTATTCCTTCTTATTTATCTCAAATCTCAGTATCTTAACATTTTACAGTGTAGAGCGCCTAGTTACGTGTTCAACACATCTTGTTCAATACACGGGCAGCACAGCGTTTTTCTATTTGAAACCTGACGTGTACTCTTAGCAAGGGAAACTTTCTTTTTGTTTGTTGGTAATTTCCAAACCTCCATTTTTCCCCATCACTTCTGACATTTCTAATACAGGTCAAACACCCCTCATATAAAATCTGTAATCAAAAATGCTCCAAAGCCTGAAACCTTTAGGGTGCCAACAAGCTGACACAGCAGACAAGGTGGGAGTCAGCACACAGGACCCAGGCTGTGCATAAGGTCTGTGTGAGATTAAGTTCATTTTGTGTTTGACTTACACCTCATCCTGAAGATGTATCGCTAATGTGTGTGTGTGTGTATAAATACATACAGAAGTATATAACTAAATATTTATACACAGATGTTTAAAATCAGAAAAAATCTGGAAGGTTCCTGGTCCCTGGCCCTGTGCATGAAGGATAAGCAACCTGATAGGCTGGAACTCACAGACACAGCCCCTACATCCCAGACTGGTCTTTCAGTCTTCTCCTTCCACATGCTGAGACATTCCCTTAATCCTTACTGATTTAATCCCTTTTTAACTACAACCTATTATTTGATGCTGCTTTTTGAGACAGTCTCAGTAAGTTGCTTTCCTAGCCTTAATGCTGTGACCATGCCTCAGCCTTCCAAGCGCTGGGGATGTGTGTGGACCACTGCACATAGTCTAGATGCCGCATCTCTAAGGATACCTTCATGAACTCTGGTCCAGCAGGACATATTTTTAAGCGTGATTTCCCTTGTCACGTTTCACTCAGCCATCAGATGAACCACCTATCTTGTATTTAAGTACAGAGAGTAGAAGCTCATGGGTAACACATGACTGCCTTCTTTTACACATGAACAAGTGGGCAGCCAGTTAAGGTATCACCAATCAGGCTTTCTACAGTGCAAAATCTATACCAGCCTCTCTGCTTTTCTCTGAAGACTCTACTTTCGTAAAAAAAAAAAAAGTCAAATATCTCACTTTAGGAGTGTGAAGGGCTGGAGTCAACTCTGCCATATGTAACCCCTACTTTAATGACGCTCTTAATCCACCCTATGTAAGGAGAGCAGCTCTGCAGGGAGGACTGGATCCCCACTGAGCTGTCAATGCCCCTGGCACAGTCTAGAAAGTCCGATTTCCTCTGTGCTGCTGGTTTAATTTCTTCTACTTGTCTTCTGCCTTTCAAAAAATGATTGGAATCACTTCTGTTCTGTTGGTTATTGAGGGTTTACATCTGAGTAAAGTTCTTAATTCTATCATTTCAGTGGGCTCTCAAAATGCCGAAGAGCTGCGAGGGTTTTCAGTACAACATGATCAAAAAGCCTTAGCCTTGGTCCTTTCCAACGGCTATAGCACTTTTAGAAACATGATCTGAGTCTCCTGGTGAAGAACACAACAAACTAAAACAGGATGGTCAGATGAACACGGGTTTTGTTTTGCATTGTAAATGTTAAATGATGCAAAAGCTAAAAATTATTGGTGCTCATCTGTAAGATAACAGTGGGTAACTGTACACGAACCATAGCTTCCTACATCTGTTAACATTTTATAATTTTATAAGGACTTCTCTTTTTTTTTGGAACCGGGGATCAAACTCACAACCTTGCACTTGCCAGGCAGGCACTTGTGCTGCTGAGCTAAACCCCCAGCCCTATAAGGACTTATCTTAAAATTCATTTATATAAATATTGATTTCCATTTTAAAACACCAAGTGTCCTTATTTTTTGTTTTGTTTTAGTGATGGTGAGAAGTAAATGCAGGACACTTGTGCCTTGTTCAAAGCAAGTGTTCTTATCACTGAGCTTATAATAGCCCTTAGCTGGCTTTCCTTTCTTTATTTTTTTGGTATTGGGAATTGAACTCATGACCTCATGCTTGCCAGGCAGGCTGTGCTACTGAGCTATATCCACAGCCATAACTGTCTTTCTTTTTAAAAAATCAAACTGTGATTCCCGTATAATAAAAACGGGATAACTGTCCTTCACTCACATCAGGAGTGAGGAGGCGGTGCCATCTGTGACCCAGGAGGCAGGTCCTCACCTGACACCAAGCCTATCGCTCTGATTGTGCCTTTTCCACCTTCTACACCTGTGAAAAGCAAATCTTCATTTCTATACTTTTAAAGCAAACTGGCAAGTGCAAGGTCCTGAGTTCAACTCCTGACATTAAAAAAAGAAGTAAGGGCTGGGGATTTAGCTCAGCGGCATAAGCGCCTGCCTTGCAAGCAGGCAGTCGTGAGTTCAATCCCTGGTACCGGTAAAAACGAAAAAGACAAAAAAAAAAAAAAAAAAAGGAAGCAAAAAGGGATAACTATTTCTCTATTTTTACTCCATGGTGAAAACTTAACAGAGGGCAAGGGGACAGCTCTGTAGCAGAGCGTGCACTTAGCAGGTCTAAGCCCAGCCACGCCACCCCCAATTCAATGTGGGCTCTGAAAAATGCACAAAAAAGACCACCTAGAATGGTGTTTTCTTTATTACAAATTATCAGCTCTGTATCAAAGTCGAAATAAAATAAAAGCCATATATTTAAGGTTAGAAATTTGTTATAAAAATCATTTTTCTTGTTGGTCCATACAAAGAGAGGGGAATGACATTTGATGTTTATTATTTTTTTTAAACAAAATGAAATTTTTTTTTTCAATTTTACTTTCACCAAAAACAAAGTTACATTTGCCTCTTACCTAATAGGAAAGGTTGCTAGTACCATCAGTTTCCCAGTCTACAGAATGAAACAATCATGTGACTATATCATACAGTAATTTTACTGAGTCGGTTTCACGATCATTAAGGTTTTTCTAACACTGTACGACTCTAAGAAAAAAAAAACCACCTTGCTAGTGATGTTTTGATTTTTAATCTCAGAGTTCACACATCCTTCTCTCATCATGTTTTAAGGCAGCACCGTTTAAGGGTATAGGAGTTAGTGGGGAGCACTTAGAACACCAACGCGAGTCCCCAAGGTCCTGTCACAAGTGTGCATCTGTAAGATCCACCTGTGGTCTGGAATAATCTTCCCCATGTCTCGAAAGCAACAGTTTTGTACCTGTAACACGTCATGTTTTACACTGGGTTTCTCTGGCACTTCATGAACACTTTCTGAAGAATCATCTATCTCCTCAAACTCTGAGGATGAAGGACTCTCTACTGTCACCGTGACAGGAAAATCTGATGACTTAAAGAAAACAGGATTATGTAAACAGTAACATAACCAGATACCAAATATTCAGGACATCTAACCAAAGTGATATTTCTGAAATAACTGATACATACAAGTGTCTTTTGCCAACACTTAGGTTAAAACAACACAGCAAAACACTACTTACTGCTGCTGTTACTATGCAGAATTCTGGCATATACATAGTTACGACTGCTATATGGAATGTTCTATTAATTTATTAAATTCACATAAATCAAGTAAGGAGACAGGATGAACATTTTTCCTTAAAACAATTTTATAATGCATAAGAGAAATTTATTCTTCACTATCAGATGCAAAAAGTGTGGAAGTATAATTTTTAGGAGGCAAATCCATTGGTAGGAGACTGATAAACAAAAAAATGTAAGAATGAACCGAGCACAGTGGTGCATACCTATAACCCCAGCACTCAGGAAAGCTGAGGGGGATGGCAAGTTTGAGCCCAGCTAGGGCCAATTTAGTGATTTAAGGAGGCTCACCTGAAAATTTTTTAAAAAGGGATGGGGGCAGTAAACTGAACCAGAATGGTATTTTTTTTTTAATGTGATATTAACACACATGCTTCTTTATTGATCTTTTTTTTTGAGACAGGGTTTCACTATGAAGTTCAGGCTGGCCTTGAGCTAACTTTTTTTTTTACCTTTTGGTACTGGGGATAGAACTCACAACCTCATGCTTGCCAAGCAGGCACTTGTGCTGCTGAGCTAAACCCCCAGGCCCTTGAACTCACTTTTTTTTTTTGAACTCACTTTTTAATGCAGGCTAGTCTTTTTTTTTTTCTTTTTTTCTTTTTATCGGTACCGGGGATCAAACTCACGACCACCTGCTTGCAAGGCAGGTACTTATGCCGCTGAGCTAAATTCCCAGCCCCTCCCAGGCTAGGCTTGAACTTGCAGCAATCCCCCTGCCTCAGGCTCCCAAGTGCCCGGCCAGAACGGTACTTTAAATAAATCATGTATGTACACACAAGTAAAAGTGACACACTAACAATTTTATCTTATCCTTCACAAGCCAAAACTAGAGCACCAACAATATAATTTTGTTAAAGTTCCCTGCTGATCAGTATGAGATTTCTCATCATTTAAAAATGGGCCTGGTGACTACCTCATAAAAAGCAAATCTACATGTTAAAACAAAGAGCTTCTGTAACTGTAAAGAAATAAGTCCCAGGTGTGATCTCTACCACAAGCAGGAAACAAGCCCTCAACAGGATGGTGCGCACACCCCAACTTCTGGGCATGGAGGAACAGTGGTGCCACCAGGGAGCTCCTCACTCAGTCTCGGCAGTGCTGTCTGTAAGAACCAACCCTGAGCTACCAAAGCTGCAGGCAGGGGACAGGGAATGTGTGTATCCTGGAGTGGGGGAGCTCTGGGGAAACAGCTGCTTTGCTCTGGCTCTAGAATCTGGAATTCACACACACATAGGAATCCCAGAAGCCTCACTCCTGAAAACTTAAGGATGTTTCTGAGGGTGTAGCGCTATGTGTCAGGTCAGAAACGGAGTCAAATTCATTTTCCTGGCCATAGCTGATGTGGGGACAGTTTGACAGCTGGAAGCATAAGGTCTACACCATGTGCAATATCCACGTATCTACACCCGAGCACTGGGACACAGCACCCGGGGAAGTTTTAGACAGGGTTACTTCGGCAGGGAGTGTCTTCTGGAAGGTTCTAACTAGCTTCAAAAAGGAGAGACTGTGGGGGTAGAGGAGCTCCTCAGCAATTCCAGCATTTGGAACGCTGGAACAGGAGGATCACTGTGAGCTGAGGCCAGCCTGCACTACACAGCAAGACCATATCTCCAAAAACCATAGACAGACAGACAGGTAGATTAAAAAAATAGCACAGAAAACTGCTCTCCATCTTTTCTGTTCCAACCCTCTGTATCTCTGTATGTTACAAGTATGATAAATACACACCTGCAGCTGATTAGGGATATCTTGAGTTTTGAGTAGCGGAAAACCCCTAAAAAGATATCAACAAGTTAAGTCATATTTCATGCAGACATACCACCAATTAACACTTATTAGTATTATGTACACTATCCATATAAAACTGTGTAAATAAATAACCTCAAAATAAGACTCCAGGATTCTGTTACGGCAAAAGTTGAATGGACTTCAGCAAGACGGCTTTGTGACAGTTCGGAGACACACACAGCTCCCACGTACGGCATGACTGAGTTTCCAATCTAACTGCTCTATCTACATATAGTGCTCATTCTGGAATTTACAATTTCTGTGATTATGAGGGATTGCAGATTAGTAAATGTCCTAAGAGGACATGAACCATAAAACTGCAAAACTGGGGCCTTCGACTAGTTTATATACTAATAATTTACATTTACCATTTGTGGAAAGGAAGTCAGCTGCCTCGTGTAGATTATGCAAAGCAATTTAACAGGTATTTTACACAGCACCTATCTTCAGTCCTATTTAAAATCAATTCTATTTTCTTAAGCAACTGTTAATCCTCAGTTTCTTGAATAATCTCAAATCAATAATTAAAAAATCTACATTAATCTAGCTCACTTAACAAGCCAAAAATTATAGCACAACAATGTAAAACAAAAAACTTGATAAAAATTACCTTGTACAGCTCCACTGTGGGTAATGAGCTAAAACTGGTTTGAGTCACTAAATGAGGTCCATTAAAATGAGAATTTGGCGAGTTCACTTAGTAAGTTTAATTCGGCCTCCTTCCCCACTTCACACGCAGCCATCTCCCAGGCTACAGAATGTCTCAGCCCTCATTCTGCATACGCAGATTCCTACTTCTACCTCAAAGGCTCAGCTCAGCTACACATCTTCCATTAAACCCTCTGCTCGCCTGTGCAAGTGAAATGATCTCAAGGCTCCTGTTGATTCCCACAGGTACAACTTCTGTGACACTAAGGAAGTGACTTAAAACACCTAATTATCACTTTCCCCTTCAAGGATTCCTTAGGTAGAAGCTTTGAGTTTTTTCCGTCTTATAGAAACAACCAGAGAACTTCTGTTTAATACAAGCTCCAAAATAAAGAGCCGTGGATGACTGAAAGGAAATAAAAATATCCTACCTGCTTCTCTTAGCACGTTCTGCAGTACGCCAGGGCAAGAAACCATCCACCCCAGGAGGCAGAGGTTCAGGAGCATAGCATTCTTTACCAGTGGTGTGTTTTCTTCCGCTGCTTGCAGGTTTCTTGGTGGCCAATCCTATGTTGGAGAGGGTTAAAAACAAAAAAATCAAGAAACTCAAAAGGTTTACAGATTATCATGTGCATACTCATAAAAGAATACAAATGACAATGAAATTTGGCCATCAAAAGAGGATCCATTTATAAAAAGGTAGCAATGTTTTGAAAACATTAAATTTCTACAGTAACAAGTTATCATTTTAACTAAAATATAAATTGACTATTAGATGTGTAGAACATGCAAAAATAAATAAAAATATATTTCAGTGAAATATACTTCATGCAAAACAATATTCAGTTCGCTGCAACTTAGAACATCTTTGGTATTTCTGAATCTTTAAGACAGAGCAACATAAATACACCCAGGACACCTGCTAACAGACCTGAATGAGAGATCAAAATCACAACTGAACCGCACTTTCACTAGGTAAAAACTATTAAAACACTGCAAGTGGCCAGGTGGCAGGTAAACTGGTGGTGTCCTCGAAGCCTGTTAACCTTAGGTCTCATTTAACTTTATAGAAAACGCAAGAGAAACAAGTAAAACTTACTGGATGAAAGAGGAGATTCATGAGAAGCTTTATGTTTTTTTAACACTAATGTGTCAAGTATCTTTATATGAAACATTTTCAAATCACATATTAAAACTCACATTACAATGTCTTTAATATTGCTGAAAACAAATAATACATGTTTATTTAAGTGGTTATCTTTCCAATTTATTTTACTATACAAGATCTACTTTGGCAGCTCTAGGATGGTATCTAAGATAAAGTGTAACTGGTGACAACAAACACATGGCCCTGTGCTATTTCTCTGGATTTGTAGACATGTCTCTCAAAATATATAAAAGCTCTGTCGATCTTGTACTATTCCACTTTTGTTTTTTAACAATCTTCATATGAAAAATATTTGTGTGCATATATTGTCAGCAAATAATGCAAACACTTTTAATTGAAACAAATTAAACTTATTAGAGATGAAAAATCTAGTGAAAATTTTTATCTTCTTTCTGCACATATAAACAATATGAACATGACATAATTCACATAAAATATCCAAACTGTGCTCTCAATGAAATTTAACTAAACAGCCAACATACTGATTTGTCTTACCTCTGTGTCTCCAAATAACTGATGCAAATCCAAAAATAAAAAGTCCAATAAAATTATTCTTAAAATTGCTCAGTGAGCTTGTAAACTTCAATTACATTTCCATTTTCTTTACATGCCAGCTACTAAAATTATAGAACATCTACTATTTTAAATACACTTTTTTTCTTATTGCTACTATCATAACACCACTGAAATGAAGTGCTTTTACCAAAGCCTAACACAGGATACGAACTTTTTAGTGTGATATCACAAATTTCAATTTGTATATGTCACATGAGTAACTAATAAAATACCACTGCTCTGAAATAAAAATTGGTATATGTAGCCTATATGTTCCTCAATTTAATCAGTACTCAATTTAATACACTGACAATTATTTACTACAAATAAGTCAGTTACTGGTGAGCCAAAAGCACAGATCTTGTAATTAAAAACAAGAATATTTATCAAGAAGTTTTTGGAAAGATTTAAAAAATAATTTAGGCAAACCATGAGTGCCCAGGAAGATAAAAGCTAGCTCACCCTTTCTGTGAGTTGGCAGGAGCCAAGCTGGGTCTGGGAGGAGGAGCAGAACGACCAGCCAACTCTCCCTTTCCATAAGCCACACAAACCACATAGGGCCCAGGAAGAGACTCAACCCCCCCCCCCCCCCAAGCAACAGCTGGTTCAGAGGACAGGCTGAGTTGATAGCAACTGAAGCACAAAAAACAATTAAATTGCTTGTACTGTTAGAATGACTTTGCAGACCTAGGGCCCTTAGTCTGAGAATCTGTTAAGAGGGTAAGAGTATGCACTATAGCAAATATGGGAGATTCCCTTCTGCCTTGCTTTTGAATTCTAAGTGTTCTCATTGTTTGTTTTGTTCTGACTTACTGTTATGTTTTAATGTTCTGTTTTGATTCATTTTACTCTATTTTGTCTGGTTTTATTTTATTATGTTTGATGGTATGGGCAACTATTGTGAAGATAATAAGATATATTATGGTAGCTATTGTTGATTTCCTATTATCCTGTTTTGAAGTTCTGTACCACTTTCACTGTTTTGTTTAGATTGGTTTTATTATTTTATTGTTAAGTTTTCTCTTTAAAACAAAAAGGTGATATTTAGGTTTTTTCCAATTTTTCACTAGTTCAAAATATCGATCCATCAACCAAAGAATTCATGTGAATGCATTAAAAAGCATAATAATGGATCATATAAAATTTTAACTCAATATGAAGTTAAAAATAATTGTATTTAAGCTATGTGAGATTGTTACTTTTAGACCATAGGAATAGAAAGAAAAATTAAGTATTATCTGACCGGACAGTGGAATTCGTGGTGGCTTCTATGTTTATTTCCAATGTCATATTAATGCAATACCTTTATAAAACCTAAACAAAAATCATCAATGTATTTTTTCAAGTTGTAATAAAATACACACAACATAAAAATTTCCATATTAATCATTTTTAAGTGTACAGATCAATGCTACTAAGTCAAAAACTTTTGAAAATGCAGGTAGTAACCAAATAAAAGATTGTTTGCCATTAACTGTTTAATGAACTTGATATGTCTGGTATATAACTGAAGTCATCATAAACCTTTTTCTGAAAAGTTGGCAGATTATAAACATAAGAAAATTATTGTGTGTCTTTTGTTTAGTCTTTATGGTTTTTAGTTTCAAAATTCAAAGTTGTTATAAGAAAATGTTACTTTCATATTAGATTTGGATCAATTTATTCCACTATTCATTTTTACCCCCAGAAGAGGTTATTTATAAATGTAGTATGTTCTAGTGAGTAAAGACTAGAAACTCTTTAGAAACAATATAAAAATTAGTGTAACTGAATTATTCCAAACATTCAGAGAACTTGAAATTTATATTACTAGTTGTTGAAGTTTATAAAATACTTTTCTCAATATTCTTTGTCATAAAATTATACAGTTTTAAACCCTAGATTAGCTATTATTTTGTAAATTAAATACATGTTATAACAAATGTTTAGAAAATGTCTTTCTAAAATGTTCCATGTAAGATCAATAAGCTTGTCTGCAGTACTGTTTTCTAGGGGTTATATGTATTTTGAGGACTTTTCCATCACTGAAAGAGCAAGGTGTCATCCAATAACTCTGGTAAGAATTCACAAGGAAGAAACAAGGGGGAAAAAATGGAACTGAAAAGAAATTTTGTTTTCTGTAACTGTAGGACAGTTCTTAATTTCAGAAAAATGGTCCGGCTATGGGTGTGGCTCAGGGGTAGAACATCTGTCCAGCATGCCTGAGGCCCTGTGTCAACCCCTACCACCACCTAAAACTATACCAAAGGGCACCTCAAATTTCAGCTGCAGAAGCATAAGCAATCATCAACCAGGAAACATTCAAAATGATAAACATTTTATGAAAAAAATGGTTTATTTTAAAAACGAAAAGAGTAGGATTCATTCCCTAATGATTTATTTACTATTTCTACATTCCCTAAATCTTCCTAAGCTGTACCACAACAATTACAGTCTTACAATACACATGCAGTCAGTGCTCACGCCAACGAGGAAAGATTCTAACACACTGGAACCCATGGCAGGTGTACATTTCAGTAGCATTAAAAAGCCAAGGGAGAGAGGTTACCAATTCTGATAGTAGCCTTTCCTTTTCGACTGCTTCCTAGAATTATAGTTCTTTTTTTCTGTTTAGCAGTTTTAGATGATTCCTTCAAAGATGGAGAAGTTATCCACTGGTACTAGAAGAGATAGATACAGGCAATTTCAGTTACACGTAATATGTGAGAGTTTGAACTTAACTGGAAATATTAACATACTATAAAAGCTTTGCAACTTGCTTTTCTTGGACCCCGATATTTTTTTTGTCTTTTTCATTTTTTCCGGTATCGGGGATCAAACTCACGATTGCCTACTTGCAAGGCAGGTACTTATGCCGCTGAGCTAAATCCCCAGCCCCTTCTTGGACCCCAATTTAAGAAAAAGAAACCACATAACATTTTCAAAAATAGAAAAGCAACCTGATTTAACTGAAAATTCAAGGTGGCAAAAAAATGCCTTGACAATTTTATTAAAAACAAAAGAAAAAAACAATAAAGATAAATTCTATTAAAATTTATTATATTGTTAACAGATAACGAAGCTGACAAATATACTGAGGTAAACAGGTATAGAGTGCTAAAGCAGATTACAAAGCAGCAAATACGGCAATGCCAGTTTTTTATTTTCAAATGTACTTATTTACATTAATGTATAGAGATATCAAGAAATCATCCACACTGGGCGTGCTGGCACATGCCTGAAATCCCACCACTCGGCAGGCTGAGGTAAGAGATCACTGTGAAGTGGAGGCCAGTCTGGACTACATGGTGAATTCAAGGCCAGCCTGAACTGCACAGTGAGACCATCTTTTAAAAAAAAAATCAGCTAAAATCAACTGTCCTAAGTCTGTTCCTGGGGATGAAACGCTAAGCACATTCTTTGGATTAAGAGCATTTCCTGACTTGTGCTACTATGAAGTATTTCTAAGCAGAGGAAATTAGGAGTTGCTATTCGGATGTGGGCGTGTTAACCAGGTAGACTGTGGTCATCACTTCACAGCACAGCTCTGTCTCAAACATGCTGCCGTACCCCTTAACACATGATTCTATGTCAATTATACACAACAGAAAAAAATTCTTCCCTGAGAACTAAAACAGGCTGTACCTCTGACTTAGCACTTCTTCCATTCTGGAGAACTTTTTTGATAACTGCTTTCATCACCGAATGATCTAAAGTAAAATGAAAATTGAAAATATAGTAACTTTAGTCCAATGAGTGGCTATATCCATTTAAAAACAAGCGGCAACTCATTATTGTTCTTTCAGTCAAATTCAATACTAAGCCCACATTATTTAATTATACATTTATTTTCCCTGGTGAACATTCTAACTTCTTTTCTCAAAGACAAAGTGAAAGTTTGTCACCCTGCATAGCACCCCTAGTAGCTTCTACTCTGGCAGTAGCAAAGATCAAGTTTAAAGTGGCTTTGGACACCTTCAGATAGAAAACCAAGAACATGGACACTTGGACACTTAAGACACCTAAAGGCAACCGACACAGTCCGAGTGAAGGTCACGATAAGCCTTGAAGCTGCTCCTCTCCCAGCTGCCTTTTCTCGGTACCTGGTACAGCCCAGCTGTGCACATAACACGTCCAGAACATCTTGAGCACTACCCATTCCTTCCTAGCCTGCACCTAACTAATCTGAAACCCTCTTGGGCAGGCCTCATTTTGACCACTTTTTCATTACCTTCAACCTTGCACCCTCAGCTTAGCCACAAGCACCTTCCACCTGGCTTGCTATGATGGGCCCTTCTCCGATGGGTCCCTCCTTGGCCTCCCTGCTTCCCTACTTAGCACCACCTAGAGGCCTACTCTCCACTCTAGCTAGGGTCCTGATGGAAACAGCACTCAGGTCACTGAGCACAGTGCAATCCCCAGGCCGGCCTTCAGAATCTTGTGGTATTGGCCCTGGCTCGCTGCTGGAACTTACGGCACCCTAAGCTCCCCCTCCTCGCTGCCAGCTGGTCTGGCTCCTCATCTTCCCTTAAATGCTCCGCCTGCCCTGCCACAGCCACCTGCCTACACGCTTACTGCTTCTCTGCCCTGGAACGGACTTTCCCTGGAACTTTCACAGTCTGCTCCTCATCTCCCTCCGCTCTCTGTTTCATGTCACTCCACCAGGGAGAATGTCCCTAACAATCTTATCTAATACAGTCCACCAGCCCCAGCTATTTTACCCTGAGGTATGCACTTTCACTACTTACAGTTACTTATCTGTTTGCTAATTGGTATTTCAGTTTCCTCTCTAGACAGTAAGCCTTACAAAGGCAAGGCTGGCTGGTTAACTGCCACCTGCACAGATGCTTCAACCACAGCTCAGCACACAAAAGTACTCAAAATGTACTGGTAAAATCAGCAAGGGAATGAAACGCTTTTCAAAAAATTCAGAGGTTTCACATAAAAGGAAATAATGCTCTTTCTTAGTTGGAACAGGTTTATTATCAGAGTTCACCTCTATTCAGAAGCAGTCAAGAAAAATTTACAAGTACAACTTATTTGAGTCAGTAAAAGTTACCTGCTAAAAACATAAGTAACTACCAGATGAGAAAAGTTTAGGAAAGTAAATACATAACGGTTAGGAAATTGTAAATACTGGAACAAACTGCTTTTGTTCTGCTATCTGTTCATGAGTAAAAATGAGCAGCAACATACCAATGAGCGGGTTTCTCCTTATATCCAGAACCACCAGAGTCCTGTTGGTCTCCAGGGCCTTCAGCAAAGCCTGGGCTCCATCACTGGTGAGGCCGCACTGCTGCAGGTCAAGTGCTTGTAATGAAAGATGAGTCACCTGTCAATTCCACATAGACTTAACAGTACAGACAGCCCCGTCTATGCCTGGGAGATTCCTGAGTGAGACTAGTCCTGGTTGAGGGCTAGGGATTTAGCTGCACCTGTCTGCCAAGCGTGAGGTCGGAGCTTGATCCCCAGCACGAAAAAAAAAAAAAAAAAAAAAAGACCAGTCATGGCAGGTTTTTAATCAAGTATTGAGAAAAAGCAGAACATCATACATAAATGCACAATCTGGGGGAGAAAAAAGGCCTCCTCAGCCTCATTTCTTGGATGTGCTATGATTATCTTCCCTTTAGCACCAAATAAACCACCTAATATATTTTACAATGACAGAGTTGAGCAGTAACTATAGTCCATGAGGAAAAAAAACAGCACGGAACATCTACCATTCACAACTAGTAAAGATGCTAGTGGCAGCGTAAAAGCCACAGGCAAACACTAGATGGAGCTTAGAAATTATATCCCATTCTTTGAGCATGATTTTGAACTCAAAATAAATCTCAAAAAATGTATTTAAAAAGACAAAAGGAATGTAACAACTGTTAGTTTCAAAATAAAATGACAAAAATATTTAAGGAGATACAAATAATTCAAAGAATTTATTAATGAAAGCTGGGTGTGCTGGACCATGCCTGCAACCCCAGCCACTCAAGGGGCTGAAACAGGAGATCTGCAAGTTTGAGGGCTGCCTCGGCAACTGCGTAATCCCAGTCTCAAAAACAAAAATAAATACATCAGAAGACTGGTGATAACACTCAATGGTACAATGCCCCCCAATCTGACTCCCCTAGACTCACGAACACCAGCCAACCAGCCAACCAAATTACCACCAACCAACCAAAAAGACTTATGATCCATAACTCTCTCACTAAAAATTAAAGAATGGAACAAATGTTCATGAATACTAAGCTTGAATAACTACTCATTTAAACCCCAAAGAATCACTACAAAAGCACAGGTGCAAAGATGCTTCCACCAGAAGAAAACACCAGAGACTTTTAGTAAAGCATTGTATATACTACTACATTAAAGTAAAAGAAGCCTTTCACAGCCCACACTGTGGAATTGTATTCCCTGTGTTTGTATTCCCTGAAAATTCCTATGCCGAAACCCTAGTCCCTGCGTCTGTCTCTCTTTGTTTGTTATACTAGATAAACAAGGCAGTCTTGTACAAACCAGGAAGAGTATGTGCACCAAACACTGGACTGCCAGTGCTTTTCATCTGACTTCCCAGCCTCCGGCACTGTGAGACAGAACTGTCTGTGGTGTAAGCAGCCAATCCTCAGCACTACCCGTTAGCAGCCCAACCTTGCTAAGACACCTGATGACACACAGAATGTAATTATTCAATTAGCCAAATGATAAAAACAGCCAACAATTTTCACTAGCAAATCCAATGATGACAAATTGCAGCAGTAAAATGATCGCTCTGTCGGGTTATGCCAAAATCATAAACAAAATCAAGTAACAAAATCTCTAAATGTTTCCATTTTTTTCTCTCTGTGCAGTCCCACGGATCAAATCCAGGGGCTTACACATGCTAGTCAAGTGCTCTACCACTAGCTCTATCCTCAGCTATACCCTATTATATCCTAAAATATGCATGCTATTTTAATTCAGCAATTCATCTTCTAAGAATCTACCCAAAAGAAAGAATCAAAACTATGAACAGGAATATATAGCAAAGTATGGTTTATAACAGTAAAAAACCGGAAGTAACTTACAGATCTAAAAAGGAATGAATAAATTACGTATACTAAGGTATAAGAATATAACAAAACACTTAGTAGTCACTAAAAATGATGTCGTAGACTTGTTTTTCATTTTTTGTTTTTTTTTTTTAGTACAGGGGTTCAAACTCAGGACCTCGTGCCTGCTAGGCAGGCACTTACGCTACTGAGCTAAATCCCCACGTTACATTTGCTTATTAATTGGTTAACACACTTGTGACATATTCTGTGAACAAAGTTAAATAATCTGCAGAGCAACCCCACTTGAATGGGGTGGGGTTTCTTAGCTGTATAAAATTTAAAGATTTCTGTGGTACTAGGGATGGATCAAGGGCCGCATGCATGCTAGACAAGCACTCTACTGCTGAGCTGTGTCCTCAACCCTGTTTTTTATTTTGAGACATGGTCTCTTTGTGTAACCCAGGGGAACCCTGAATTTGTTATCCTCCTGCCTCAGCATGCAAGTAACTGGAATGGCAGGCATGTGTCACCACCATTTGATCTGCAGTAATTCACCCCACGAAGTGTACTCCTAAGTACACAAAGATGTACACATAAATTCACTAAAATAGAGGGAAATAATCCACTGTCTAAATATCAAACAGCAGACACTTAAACTACTATGCATCAATATAATGGTGCCCTACATGGCACGTATCATTAAACCAAAAAAAAAAAAAAAAATAGACTGCCAGGGGCTGGAGATTTAGCTCAGCGGCATAAGCACCTGCCTTGCAAGCAGGCCGTCCTGGGTTCGATCCCCAGTACCGATAAAAAAAAAAGATTGCCAAACAGTAAATACACAGTAATTCTTTTTTCTTTTTTTGTATTAGGGATTGAACTCACAACTTCATGTTTACCATGCAGGTACTTGTGCCACGGAACTATGACCCTGGCCCCATTTTTGTTATTTTTAATGGTATAAATATACCTATAAAAAGATTTAAAATGTGTGCTAAAATAGAAATATCTGGATTGGTTGATTATAAGTAATACTGTCCTGTTTATTTTGCATTTTCTATAAGAATGTATGTAATTTTCATAACACTTTAAAACTGTTAAGATTCCTGTTTACAACATTAGTGCCAAGAGCTGAACACACTCGATATTCTAAGCCTTTCGGAGCCCCTTACCTACCTCTAAGCCATAGATCCTCGCTGAGTGAGTCCGCGAGCGAGCGCGCGCCCAGGTCGCCCACCAGCGTGTTGCAGTTGAGCGTGACACGCCGCAGGCCTGCCATGCTATCCAGGTCGGGCCTCCTGTAGCGCAGGCTCTCTGCCCAGGTCTCCTCGTGCCGCCTTATCGCCTGGTACTGTAGAGCCAGCAGCACGGAATTAACACGGCGGGACAGAAGACAGGAAAACCACCAGGTAACTTAACACACTGAGCTCGTCAGTGCTTCCTGCACACACACACACACACACACACACACACGCGCACAAACGCAAACATATACATGGAATGTTAAAGGGAAGACTCAGGTTTAGGAGTCCAGTGGTCCAGATTCTAGCTCAGATTAGTAGTGAGACTCCAGCCCCTGGGTGATCTGTCACAGGTTAGTTATGTCCACTGACAACTCAAGTAATTTTTAAGAATTTTATTGTCCTTATCTCACAAGTTCAAGAACTAGTTTTGAATTCTATCACTGCTAAACCTATAAATTCCATCATTTTGTTCTCTAGTAGTCTCTAAACACTTATTTGTTAGTGTGTATGTGTGTGTGTATATATATATAATATATATATATATATATATAAAGTTCTGTATAAGTACTTTATTCACGATTTGAACTGCACAGAAACAGCAAGTACCACTTAAGTGACACACCAATAAATACAGACTCTGCTTTATTCTTCCAACCTGAGGATCTCACATGCTTCTTTAGGACAGGCAGAGGCCTAGAAAAGGCAAGGTCACTCCGACATACTTTAGGAAACTAAGGGTTTGAAGTTAACCACAGGTATGCCTTGCAAACACATTGTGATCATTTTCCTAAACTGTACTCAGAACGTTTTGGTAACATGGAGACTGACTTTAAGTATTTTCCTTTCTTCTGTGCACAGTACTGGGGATTGAACCCATGACCTCATGCATATTGGCCATCTGCTCTACCACTGATACATCTCCAACCCTAAACACTGATTTTAAGAGAAAAATATATTATTAGATTCTTAACAAAAGTCTTCAATCTCCTGTGACAGTCTGAAAGAAAAAATTATTAGGCATATTTTGTACTAAGAATAACTACACAAAAGTAACAAAAGGAAGTAACAGCAAACACACAGAGCCTACTAAGTGCTGGGCATGCTATTAGACAGAGGAGCTTATCTGATCTCAGAAGGATGGGTGGAGTATGTTTCTACATACGTATTTTACAGAAGAGGTTAAATAATTTGACCTTGGTCATAAGCTGTTACACGGGAGAGCTAGGGTTTCAGCCCACACCATGGCCTTCATGAGCCACACTCTCGACTAGTATCTACCCAAGGGTGAGAGGATTTGCTCTGGAAAGGTCCAAAAATAAACATTTTCAGCATTGTGGGTGAGGCAGTTTCTTTTACAAGCCTTCAGCTTTCCTGGATTAGAGTAAAAGTAACCATAGTTACCATGTAAACAACTGGCTATGTTCCAAAAAAACTTTTATTTACAAAAGTAGGTGATGAGCTTGATTTCAGCCACAAACCAGTCTGTCTATCTCTGCTATTTACAAACTGCAAAAAAGGTTTCAGGGCCAGGGAATTCTCTCAGTGGCATAAGCACCTGCCTGGCAAGTGTGAGGTCATGAGTTCGTAAAGATTTCAGATCAAATTAAGTCATTTAAGGCCCAAATACAGTAATTATAAAAACCACAAGTTGTTGAATGATCAGCACAATTATGTTTTTAAAAACATTATTTATAAAATATAGTGATTTCTGATTACATGTTACAGCAGTTAAAAGGGGTCTGAGTCATTTAGGTAAGGTGCAGACTGTAACAGCATGTTTTAGTGCCATAATAACTTTCAGTAACTAAAACACAGAAGCACCCTTCCTAACGCATGCCGTTCCAACTGTTCCCCAAAAGCTCGCCGTACTGAAGGCCTGGTTGCCAGTTGAGCATTGGGAAGGCCAGAGGATGAAAAGGAGCCTGATCCCCTGATAAGGATCATCTATTAATTAGCTCAAAGCGTCTTAGGGAAGATTCCTGAAGAATGAACGGTACACTGGCTGTGGGAGGTGGGGAATGCCGGGAACCAGGTGCTGATGTGGCTTTGACAGCTGTACCCTGTCCCCCAGCCCTTGCAGGACTGTGCTCTCATTCTCTACTTCGCGACCACCTTGAACTGAACAGCCTCCTCCACCCACGTTCACTGCCATGTTCTGCCCTGCCTTGGTCCAAAGTAACCAAGCCAGCAGACAATGGACTGAAACTGAGAGCCACAGGAACCGTACCTCCACTGAATTGTTATTCTCAAGTGCTCTGTCCAGGACAGAAAGCTGGTTAACAAGGAAAACTCGTGATGAGAGTGGGACACTGCTAGCAATGTACCTGATCATGTGCTTCAGCAGCCTTTCGGACTGGTTTGTGAGAAGCTGCCAACTGCTGTAAGCAGCTTAATGGACAATTCTGTTGTGAGCTGGAAAAGAGAATTCTGCAAGGAGCATGGACAGTAATATGTGCTCAGAAGCTCTGCACAGCATGAGGACCCTACTGGGAAGTGGGTCCTCATTCCAGCAGAGAAACTGTCTACCTCTGGTCTATGCGTGGGCACCTTGCGTGAGTACACATTAAAGGTGATACAGTAGTTATCGGGCAGAGGAAATTTCAAGGCAGTATAGAATTCAGGTAGTGGCATGGGTGTGGCTTACACAGACTTACTGTGAGACTCGTAAGCAAAGCAGAATGGAAAGATGTGAAAACTTGCACTTTGGATAGAAGTACATGTGTTGCTGTTGGAGAGATTAGTGACATTAAAATACGCCAAGTACCAAGCTTGGGACAACAGGAAAAATATCTGGAAGGACTCTTAGGAATTGGCAGAAGGGAGCTCTGGAGTACCTGCCTGCACAGAACCACCTAGGAGTTGTTTCCCTAGGATTCACTTTACTATGTCCCACATCCAGGCACTCAGAAGCCCCTGCAGCTATGGTACAAGGAGTCCTAGCTACTGCTTGAGCTGGTATAGGAGGGACGGGGTCACAGAGCTTACACAAAGATTTAAAAGGAAGGCTTGAGAGGCCAGGCAATGTGTGGCATGGCTGGTGTCCCCACAGCACCCCCAAGACAAGAGATGTGTGAAGCTATGACAATGAAACAAAACTACAGCAGAGACCCCAGAAGTTACAGATGCTAGTAACGTGGACTATCGGCCAAGGCAAGCTTTGGGCAGTGAGCAAAGCCAGCCCAAGAAATGCCATTTGGGCTGCAACCAGCAAGGCCATAAAGGGAGAGCTGGCCTGGCCTGCTGGAATGCACCGCACACCCCACATGCCCTGGATGCTGCACGTGGATGCTGATGTACTCTGTGCCTGTCCCACTGCTGAGTGTTGGAAGTAGGTAACCTGCTTTTTGAATTTTGCATAGCTAAGAAGAAGAGAGTCAGAGACCTTGGACTCTGCAGTAATACAGGCACAGTTAAGACCTGGGGACCCTTAGGGATGGACTAAATGCATTTTGCATAATGAGACGGTCATGACTGTACCTTCAGAGGCTAGGATAGCATATTATAGTTTGGGCTTAAAATGTTCCCCAATCTATTTCAGGGTTCAGAAGTAAGACTCTGAGAAGATCAAGAGAGCTCTAACTTTATCAGTGGATTCAGCCGTAATGGATTCATAATTTGATGGCATTATTGGGAGGTGACAGAAACGGGATGGGGCCCAGCTGAAGGAACTGCGTCATGGGGACATGACATTGGCAACTGCATCTGGTACCCAGCCCTTTCCTCTTTTACGCTCCTCCCACTTTCTCTGCTTCCAGCATGCCATGACTTGAGTGGCCTCTTCCAACAGACGTTCCCACTGTGATGTTTGGACTTTCTGCAGGCCCAAAGCAACAGAGCTCACTGATCACACACTGAAACCATGAGCCAAAATAAAAATCATTTTATCACAAAGACAGAAAGCTAATACAATGCATTATACTTGAACACATTCACAATGGGGTTGTAATTTGTATTTCTTGTTGCTGGGCAGCTTGAATCACTACTGGAACATGCAAGACAGACCCACTGGGTGGCTTTTTATTCATTTTATTAGTAAAAAGACTAATAAAGCCTAGTACCAATAAAAAGGAAAAAGACCAAAAAAAAATAAAAAAAGACTAATAAAATGATTGGATCAAAAAGAGTGATTAGATCTGCTTATACCATCAGTGGTTCAAGCCTGTGGGAGTGTGGTAAATATCACAAGGATTACTTTTAGTGATTGAACCCAACTAAATAGTGGTCACATTCTTTTAATGAAACTAAAACTGAAAGCTCTATATGATCAAAAAGATAAAATAATTGCCACTTCACACAAAAGCATTAACGTGATTCCATCACAGTGACACATTTTCCCGATTGTGAACATACAAACTACCTTTAAGATCTTGGCTATGTGATCTGCTCCCTGCCACGTCACATTACACTCCGTGAAGTTGACTGTCTTAAGAGTGACAGAGTTCTTTATTCCTTGACAAATAACTAAAAGGAAAAAACATACACACACATAACAAGATGAAAAACTTAATTTGGCCAATCTTGGCTACCCATTTGTGTCTATCGTAGTTTACTATTGTATTTTTAACTTCTCAAGCAACTGGTACATTCAAAAATGTGTCTGTAACAAAGTGCTATTAGAGTGTACAACAACAGTTTAATTCTACTCAGATGCTAAAAGTGAACACTATAAATACTGCAAATTTACTCCTTTTCCACAGTAAAGTACTATATATATACTTTTTGTGATGAAAGAAAAACCTAAAAAGCGTAACTCTCTTTTCATTTCCAAAGACAGACCTCAACAATTTTAAGTGTCCACTATAAATTATACCAGATGCTACACTGCTATATTAGAACACTACCACACTGGGCAATTGCAGACAGAGAATCTTGAACTCTGTCTGTTCTCTCAAATTAAAATGCGGGCTTCCGTACAATGGACACACACTAATTACTCAGGACCCAATCACAGCCACCCTCTGTGATCACTTTCATGACTTTCCCCTCATCAGAGTTAGCTGAACTTCTAAACGTACCTGTAGTACTATGCATATATTCTAGCTTAGAACACGCTACACTGCACTGAAAGTGTACTACTAATGTTCTACTTATTTAGCTCTAGTTTTTCTCTTTACATCTTGCCTATCCCATAAACATTTCACCTTAGAAAGTGAGCACACACAAAAAACATGAGAATACTAAGCAGTACATATTTGTGTGATATGTGGCTTAATACACCTGAAATAAAGCTAATTCAGAGTATCGGCATGATCAGCTTTCAGAACAAGTGCGAACAGACCAAGGTTTGAACGAGCAGAGGAGGAAAACCAGCTAGAGGCAGCAGGCAGGGAAGGACATGGACAGGGATTAGCGTGGCATGCAGGCAAATACCAGACTGCTCTAATGGGATGAGAATTAAACAAGATTTAAACTCACTTTCCAAGCCTCCATCTCCAATTGGGCAATGTGCAAGAGACAGGTGCACCAAAGAAGTAGATTTATTCAATCCCTTAATAAAGGAAAAAATTTAAAAATTTGTTGAATATTTCCCCCCCAAGTAACTCGAATGTCTGCAGGTCCCATGGGAGAAGGCTTACCTTTATCAAAATAGTTAAATCTCTCTCTCTCAGGACTAGCCCATTTAGCGCCAGGTTCCTCAGCATGCTTGACACGCTTAAACAGCCTTTAAGAGCTTTACATAGCTGGAAGGTCATATCTTTGGATCTTATCGCAGGCACCCGGCTTCTGCAAACCTTACTTACGTTAGAACCTAAAGCAGAGTTATTGTAAGGTTAGTGATCTCAAGTACAGTTTATCAAGAAGCATCTGCTCAGAGCTTAGGAATACAACTGAACCAGGCCCTCAAAGTCCTTCTAAGGACAGACACCTGGTAACGTCAACCCACGTGGCATATGGAAACACAAACCATGCACATTCTTATACAGGCAAACAAGCTGTGCCCTAGGCATGGCTTCAAGAGAACCAGGAACCCAGAAAGATGCAAATGGGGCCAGACAGAGTGATGCGCCCACTCTGTTGGGGGAGAGTGGCCTGTGTGAAAGCATCCCAGCCTGACACCTGCGAATAGTGCAGGTGAGATAATATTATTCCACATGCCCAGAGGAGAACTGGAAATGGAGAGAAGGATGCTGAAGAAAGCCCAGGAGGAGGGAGGATCCGTCAACTGATGCAGACCAGAACTGATGCTGGCACGGTGAGCTGCCCTGGAAGGCTGGGGAAAGATGCCCTACTGCTAGAGCCTGCCCTGAAGACAAGGATAGGAAAAGGCACCTGTTTCGCAAAAGAGCAGACCAAAAGGCCCTTCCTCTGGGCTAAGTATGGCACACTGCGCGCAGCTCAGATTCCTGTGTTCCTGTGAGGGCGCAGGCTGTGCTCTGTGCGTGACTCACTTCAAGCACTACTGTAAGTTTGGTGTTATCCTTTGTTTCACAGCACTGGGAATTAAGAACTTCTAAACGTACCTGTAGTACTATGCATATATGCATATACATCACACTGAACTACCTCCTCCAGCCCTTTTTAAATTTTTTTTAAAGAGAAAAATTCAAAACAATAGGATAGTAACAATAGGTAAATACAATGTGTACTGTTATCTTTAAATTAGCTACTCAAGAGTACAAAATACAGGCATTTACTTGTCTAAACAATATTAGCACAAATTTTTCTTTTCAATGAACAAAGAGAAATCAGTAGTGTAACTAACTCGACTATCTTGGATATACATATACGTATGTATATACATACGTATATGTATGTATATACATATACATACATATACATATATACACACATATATATACATACGTGTATATATATATACATACGTGTATGTATGTATGTATTTTTTTTTTAGTTTGGCCTTCCCATCCATTTCTCTTCCCTTTCCAACAATTTCTTACCATTTCATAATATCTATTGTACACTTTGGACCTTATTCATTTTTTCAGATTCTCACACTAGGGAAACAGTGCAGTGTTTCACATGAGTGTGATTTATTTCACTTTTGAGTTGGTCTTGGGTTGCATCCATTTACCTATAAAAGTCTCCAGTTTATCCTTTATGGCTGAGTAGTACTCAACTGTAGAAAAAAAAATCACATCTTTTTTATCTATTCCTCAGCTAATGGGCACTTGGGTTGTTTCCAAGATTAAACTATTACAAATTGTGCTGCCATAAACATGGGTACACATATGTCACTTTGGTATGATGTTTTTAATTCTTTTGGGAAGATACTCAGAAGGGGGATAGCTGGATCAAATGGAATCTCTAGTCTTACTTTTCTGAGCAATCTCCATACTGATTTTCACAGTGGTTGCACCAGTCTACACTCCCACCAAAGTGGAGAAGGGTTTCTTTTTCCCCACAGCCCCACCTCCAACATTTGTTATTTGTTGACTTCTTGATAACAGCCATTTTTTCTGAGGTGAGGTGAAATCTCAGTTGTCTTAATTTGCATCTCTCGAATGACCAATGATGGGTTGACCATTTTCTCATGTATTTATTTACTGTTTGTATTTCTTTATCTGAGAAGTATGTATTAATCTCAGATACTCATTTTTAGATTGGGTCAAGAACTTGGGAGGTCTCATTTCTTTGAGTTCTTTATGCCCAGCCCTTTTTCAGTTTTTCTTTTAAGAGAGAGCCTCTGGTTCCCAGATTGGGCTTGAACTTGAAATCCTCTTGCCTCAGCCTCCCAGAGTGCTAGGATTATAGATGTGCACCACAACCACACTTAAGTGTAATTTTTCACTTTAGAAAGGATCACTTGAACTGAAGTAGGCAGATGAACTAAAAGCAACTCAAGTAGGCAGATTTTGCAACTCAGTTCAGAGGAGGTAAACCCAGGGAGGCACTTTTGTGTGCAAAAGGTATTAAAGGATGAACAAGCACTGTTAAAAAGGTTTAATCTACAGCCCATACCTACTGGATGCAAGAGATAAAGAAGATTCAGCAAAGAATATACGAAGAGAACGGGCTGTAACACATTTTTCTTATATTCAGTGGAAAATACCAGTCAAGATAAGGATGCTTCCCTGGAGTCTAATTTTCCTCTCACCGCTCATTGCTTTTGATTTCTGTTATGATTATGATCCAGTCCCTCCAAGGGTACGGAACACATCTAACACCCGAGGCTGCAGCTACTTCTTTTTAGCAGGGTGTGCTGAGCGGTCCCTGCAGAAGGGGTCAAAGACAGTGGCGACCTTGGAGCCTAGGACGAGAGGTCAGGTTTTTAAACAAATCTGGCTGGCAACTTTCTGTCAGGATACAAACATATTCAAGTCCATCCATTTTTTACAAAACCCTTTCCTGTTTGTAATTCTCAGTCTTCAGGCCTCTCCCACCTTCACTTAGCCATCCTCCTGTCTCTGATCTGCACACTGGGACACATCAAGATGGCACCACAGAAGACCTCCTCACCACTACGCCTACTGTGCTGTCCTCCAAAGTGCCACTCAAGCCTACAGCCCTCCCTCTGCTAACTAGTCCTCTTCTTCAGCGTCTTGACTTTAACCCTTCACCTCCATTAGTCCAGTGGATTACAATTCAGCCTTTTTCCAATCTGAGCTGGCCTCCCATGCGAAGGTTACCATGAGCTCCAAAGCAGATTGCCCATCTCAACATCCTTCCGTGGCTTCTTGTGCCCTTCAGCAGAAACACCAATCTCCCTGACACCCTACTTGATCTGGCCTGCTCCCACCACACTGCTAGTCTGAACTGTTTGAAACCCTCAGTCTCAGTTCCCATCTGCCTGCCATAGTCTCTCTCCTCTTTCCAAGACTTCTGCTCAGACCGCTCCATCCCTTCATCTGGCTTCTGTACATTCTTTGAAGGATGGTGCCTCCCCCGAGAAACCTTTCCTGAGCCCCCTCAATTCCACATCCTGGCATGCTGCTTCCACAACAGGGGAGAGAAGGCTGTTTGCTAGCTGCCTCCCTCAGTCAGGAAGGATGCAGAACAAGCTCACTGATATGAGCAACCTGCTCTCATCTTCAGCATCCAGCAGAGTTGTTCTCATGCCTTTGTACAGGAAAGAACTGTAATTCAAGCAGTAACCTACCCCACCCAGATCAGAGTGTGAGCTCTAGAACTCAGGCTATCGGCTGCCTCCGATACCTGTGTGATTTCCTGAGATGACAACTCCTCTTAAAGAAACTAACAACTAAATTTAACTGAATTTACAAATACGGAATGCACAATGAGAATTAACTACATGAGATGTTTAAAAAAGTTGTCCCCGAATGGTAGAAGATGGAATGCCTTTTGTCTCCTCATATATGTATTTTTTCTTCCTTTTTTTTCTGCTTTAAACCTGTGATCCAGGGAGGAAGAGTAGATTCTACACCTACATTTGAAAAGGAAAAAAAACCAAACAAACAAATGGAGAAACAGCATTAAGAAATAGGATCGTGCATCCTAGTAGGTAATCTTAAATATAATCCCCCAAGAAGCAGAGTGGTCACAATCACTGTATATGGCAGGAAGTCTCAAGAGTCATGGTTGCTTCAGCCAACAGCCTAAAGGAATGGAGACTGAAGGGCCAGGAAGCGACTCTTCAAAATAGATCCAAAACATTGCTTTTGAAAAATCTGTCTCCACTTTGAAGCTAACACATTACTTTCTACATTCATCTCTTACCAAATCTTTTACGCTCATTTGACAGTTACTAATGAGAAAAGTTAAGCTTCTTTTGGTTCCCCTCTTATGTCCAGAATATTGTGCTAATTACTAGAAAGAACATTGTTTTGTCAAATATTGTGATTTACCAGTTTTTAAATAATCGAGAGGGTTTGTATTCCCAACTATATTACCCTATCCTTGTACACGCCATATACTTGTAAAGCACTTTACAAAATTTCTTCACCCGTATTTCTGAAAATAGAGGTTGAAATGCATTAATTTACTGTTTCCGTACTTCTATACCCGAAAATAAACACATCCAATAAAATATGTTAACATCTGCCCAATGTTTTAAGGTAGAAAAATCGATATTTAATTGATGACAATAATTATTTCTTGTGTTCTCTAGACACAATTTTTTTGTTCAAATAAGTCGTAAAAATGCTTTCTTATGCCCAATGCAGAAAGGCTCTCAAACTCCTAAGCACTCTGAGCATCCTGGACTCAGGGAATCCTTGCAATCAACACACAAAGTGGGTTGGGTCATAAGGGCCGTAACCATCAGAGTAACAAACCCCCGACACCTCAGCGACTCGCCCAGGGTCGCCCAGCCGGGGAGTAAGGTCGCAAGTCGCACGCCCAGGGCGCCGCACGCACGCAGCGCCAGGCACCGCTCCTAGGCCAGGGTGCCGCTGACACCTGAGCAGCCGCTTCGCGGCCCGCCCGAGGGCCCCGCAGGCGGGAACCACGAACCTGCTGCCCCAAGCCCCAACTGGAAGCTGCTCCTGATGCAGATGAGGGGCAGGTCTTTGTTGATCTTGAGGGTGCTCAGGAGCGGCGCCCAGTCCACCACGCGCAGGCGGTCGGCGTTGAAGTCCAGCACGCCCTCCCGCAGGCAGGCGCGCACGGCAGGCAGCGGCACCGAGTCCTGCAGCGCGCACAGGCACTCGTAGTGCGCGTAGAAGTCGGCCGCGCCGCATCGGTTCAGCTGCCCGGAGTCAATCATGGCGGGGTCCGCCACGCCCGCGACTCCCACAGCCGGCGGCTGCAGCCCACACCGTGTGCAGGAACAGCGAGCACCCGCTAGGCCGCCGCCTCCCGCCCGCCGCACCGGCCGTTGGCGCCCGCCTCAACGCGCTCCGCTCCGCTGGGCTGCGGTTCAAGCCGGCAACAGGTTCCGGCGGGGGCGGTGCGCGCAGACGTCAGCGCGCTGTGCGTCGGTGTCAGGCCACGCCTCCCAGACGGGGGTGTGGCCGGGGAGGGGGGAGTGGTCTGGGTGTAAGGGCGGGGGCGGGGGCGGGGGCGGGGCGGAGCGGGGCAGGAGGTGGGGCGGTGGCCTGACCAGCAGGGCATGCCTGGACAGGATGAGATCAGGGCTTCCTGATCGGTCTGAGCAAACAGAATGTACCTGATGAGGTCCTTGAATAACTCCTTAGTGACTATTTAATTCCTGCGACTCAACCATACTCTTGTAAAAAATTCAGGCAGATGGGAACTGACCCAAATCCGTATGCAGAATAAGGGGTGATTGAGTGATTTGTACTCAATCTAGAGCAGTGCAGAATATTAAAGAGAGCAGGCAAGTAGATAAGAAAAGAGTTTCGTAGTGGGGGCACGGAGGGAGTCACCACAGAGAGGCTGTGCTCTCTGCAGACAAAGGGCAGGTTCTGCCTCATATAGGCTCTGATGGGGGGAGGGCTCTGGCACTGAAGTGAGCTGATTTTATTTTGTGAGAGTTCAGGGGCTGGGGGGAGGGGGATTGGATAAAGCTTTACATACCTGAGCTTCGGCAGACCTTTGGGAAGGAGAAGCCATAGGGGCTTCTAGGAAGAAGGAGGTGTGCATTATCACAGCACAGCTTTTGAACCGTTGCCATAATGATTGTGCTGTCTCTGGGGAGTGGGGCGCGGGGAGGGGACCTAACAAGGGGCTCCCATTTTTTTCTTTTTTTTTTCCATTGGAATAGGTAACGATAGATTTTAGCTTAGCTTTATTTTCAAACGATATTGGTTTTTAATGCTAGTAGTCTGAGGATGTAGCTGTGCACTTGGGGTGACTCTCAAAGCAATCACCTGGTAATTTACAATACATACGGTCGATGTAATAGTTGTTGAAAAGGAAATTAGAAGCCACCCAGCAGTAGGGGAGTTCTAACTTATATGCATATTGTTCTTAATCGTAGCATTTAATTGTATATTAATGCGTTCCTTTTGGCATGAACACAGTGAACCCCGTTTTTGGACAATCTAAACTCCCGAGGAAGAGCAACCGCTTGCAGCAGCCCGAGGAGACTCCACTGGCTGAGGGCTGTGCTCATGTCTGTGCTAATTTCTGCAAAGCTCTCTGAATTTCGGTGTTCTCTACCTACCTCTTGATAGAACTGTGGAGGGAAGGAAAAGGAAGAGGACTGGCGGCGGCTGAAAAGATAAGAAGTATAAAATATAAGTAACCTTTATTTTGGGAATGCGGGGAGAGACACCCCTGACCCCCTGGGGCGTGGCATCTCAACCCGGGCTGGAGATCTCTCCGTGGAACACGTGGAGTGAGGCAGTAAGTAGCCTCGGCATGGGTGGAACCTAAGGGGGCATTAGGGATGCACAGGTAGCCCATTGGTGTTAGTTTGGCACCAGAGGTAATTCCTAAGGGTGGGGGGAGATAGGAGCTCCTTGGCTTTATGGGCTACAGTATCCAGTATCCGGACTGGGCCAGCAACCCTTTCACCTCTCATGCTGATTGGCATATCTTCCATAAATTTAAGACTTTATTTGGGGTTTTGCTCACTATGAATTGCCTTGTTGTGTGTTGATAGCTAGTTCCAGTTAAGTATTACTTTCAGTGTCCTAGGCATTCTTTTATGCACGGTTTTAATTCTGAAATAATTGATTTTCCTAACATCTCTATGAAGAACGGGATACCATATGCAAGTAGCACACAGCTCAGAACCCAGAGAGTAATCCTCCGATCCTGTTGTTTGTACGGAGCCTCTAGATACTGTGGTAATGGGCCTCCCTTTAGGATTTAGACTTTATAACATTCCCTTCCATGCACTGCATTCTGGATACTCCAATCTACTCTTGCTTGGGGAGGAGTAAAGCAGGATCTCACTATGTAGCCCAGGCTGGCTTTGAATTCGTGTAGTTTTCCTGCCTCAGCCTTTGAAGTGCTGGGATTATAGGCACAGGACAGCAAGCAAAGAAGAGTACCCCAATAGTCTACCAACACAAATATGCATGTTCAAAGGTCCACTCCTCTAAAATTCCATGGCTATGGCTAATAGTGGATTTTCCATGCAACCTGCTCAGGTTAAAGTATATAGTAAGCATTCATGTGTCCACCAACCAGCTTTTCTGGTTTTCTTCTGTTTTTATTGATACATGTTTGCAGTACATAGAGCTTACATTTTTTTGTGGGGAGGTGGTTACCTATGCATAACACTTAAAGCATTTTAAAACCGCTTCCCCTCCTTCTCACCCCGTCTATCACCTGGTCCCCTTACCTTTTGCAAAAGATCTATCTCCCTGCTTCCTATTATCTGTTGTTTTATTTTGCTCGTTAATTTATTTATACTTTGAATTTATTATGCAAGAGAAAATATATTTAAATTTGTGTGTCTAATTTATTTCACTTAATACTGTGGTCTCGAAGTGAATCCATTTACCTACAGACGACTCAAATTTTCCTTCTTTATGTAAGAGTAGTACTTCATTGTGTATAAATGCTTCATTTTCTTTATCCATTCACCTGTTGATGAGTATTTAGGCCACTTACAAGATTTAGTATGAATCATTATGCTGCAAACAAGATTGCATATGCCATTGTAATATGATGTCTTTAACTCTTTTGGGAAGATACTTAGAAGGGAAATAACTGGGCCAAATGGAATTTGTAGTTTTAGTTTTTGAAGAATCTCCAGATTGATTTTTATAATGATTGTACTAGGTTACATTCCCACCAACAGTGTAGAATTGTTCCTTTTTCTCTACACTCTCACCAGCATTTGTTATTATTTGATTTCTGGATGATAACCTTTCTTTCTGGAGTCAGATATAATTTCAGTGTTGTTTTAATTTGCGTTTCTCTAATGGCCAGAAATGTGGTAAGTTTTTTCAAGTATTGTTTGGCTATATGTACTTTTTCTTCCAAAAAGTTAGTCTGTGCATTTCAGCTGCCTATTTTTCATTGGGTCTTTTTGGGATGTCTAATTTCCTTGAGTTCTTTATACATTCTGTAATTAGTCCTCTCTCCAAGGTGTACCTAGCAAAAATGTTTTACCGTTCTCTAGATTATCTCTTCACTTTTGGTTGTTTCCTATGCTATGCAGAAGCTTAATTTTATGTAATCCTATTTGATGTATAGGAATGTTATTTCTTGGGAATTTAAGGTTCTGTTCAGAAAGCCCTTGCCTATTTTATCATCCAGGAGATTTTTTCTGTTGTAATGTTTTTTTTTTCTTTCTTTTCTTTTTTTTTTTTTATTTATTTAAGGAGAAAAGAAAAGAAAAAAAAAACAGTGAAGGGGTACAAGTTATACAGATCCACAGAAGAAAAAAATGTGCAGTAGGAAATCACTAGTTAATGGATTACATATTGCCATCCTAGAAATAATTGTTCAAGTCACAAAATTAAAGCTTGTAGAGTGGATATTCCAACAATGATACTGCAAACAGTTCTGTTCAATGATCCAATAAAACTCTGTGATATCATTTTCTATCTTATACATTTAAATATACATGCAGTTATATAGTTTAGAGCACTTTCTTTTCCTCTCTTTTGTACAGTGACTATTACACATTTTGGGTTTCATTGCTCCCACGGTTCTTATTGCTTTTTTGGAAGAGAGTAAAACCAAATGTGACATAACAGAACCGAATCGGTCAAGTCAAAAGGGTGGATATAATAGAAAACATAAAATCATAATACAAGGTGATCAACAATGGTTACCATAATGCCTACCGCTATTTCTAATAGAATTGCCTATATCATTAGTTGTAATACAATTGAACAAAACAGTAAAGAATAAAACCGACAAAACCAAAACATTGGAGATATTGTAGGTCTTCAAAAGTAGATAAAAGTCAACGAGAATGGGCGTTATAATGAATCTCATTATCTTCTCAGCTGATGCCTAAACTTTCGAACCTGATACTATCCAGCAAAACAGAATAGAGGAACCTCAGTCAAAAACAAGATGGTGAGAGTAATACAGGGCTTCAAATCGAGATAATAGAAAGTCAAAGTGGGTTACTATATTATATCCTGCTATTTTTTCCCTTTAATTAAACGGATAAAAATAAAAAAGTAAATAATGGAGTGGAGATTGAGAAAAAAAGAGGGCATAACAGCGAAACAGGGCAGATCAAAACATAACCATTTAAGCAGAGTAGTGTTTCACCACCAGATATTTCCGACCCAAAAGTAGTTACCATATTGACTCTTTCCTTGAAGTCCTTGAGTACAACTTCGTATACTGTAGCATTAAGTATATAAAAACAATGTAAAACCATTTAAGAGAATGACAGCATTATAGAGTATTTAGAATCGACTAACAGAAAATGAACAATGGTTTCTGTATAATCTCCTTGTCTTTAAAAGGTTTTTGCTTGTACTATCGTACATAATAAAATCCAATAAGATACAACCTGTTTAGACCATTGGAGACAGAAGAACAAAAGCTAGATGAGACTTCAAAACAAGATGGTACTAAATCAGTATTACCTATTAAGATGTCATTTTCTCCAAAATAGCTGTTCCTATCATCCAATCGTCTCTGTATCATTTCTGTTGAGCTCTTTTTCTGTCAGTAGCTGTCAGTTTGTCTTCTTCATTTTGTTCTCTGCTCCATTCGTTGTAGCCTCCCCGCCACTATTTCTGGGTTCTTTGTATTTTTCTTTTTTTAG